CCGGAGCACCTCCACCCACCACCCTGCGCCACTGCTGCCTCCCAGCACCAGGGGTAGGGGGGAAAGCTTGCACACAGCAGCTGCCACTGCCACCCACTGTCTGGCGCTGCCATCACTTTGCATCTGGCCACACACAACCCACACCCCTACTCCACATCTGGCCCTGCGCCAACCCCTGCCCCCCTCCCCCCAGCATCTGGGCCCACCGCCCCCTGTGGCCAGAGGCAGATTAATGTGCACTGGGGCCCTAAGCAAACACAAAATTGGAGGCCCCCTCCCCTCAGGGCAGCTGGGCTGTGGGGGCAGGGCAAGGCCCCTTCCACTCCTGGTGCTGCCGCGGGAGGCTGGGGGGAACCTGCCAGCCTGCAGGTGGGGACACATGTCCCTCTCTTCTCCCTGCTCCTTGTCCCCTTGTCCCACTATGGCCAAACATACACACACACAGGCCCACACATACAGGCATGCACACAGACAGGTGCACACTACTCTCACTCACTCTCTGCACATGGACACACAGACACACACGCACTCCCTCCTGCCGTGAACAGACACATGCATGCACACACAGATACATGCATGCACACATCGGACAGGTGCACACTCTACTCACTGCACATGGACACACAGACATAAACACACTCTCCCTCCTGCCATGAACAGACACATGCACGCAGAGCAGTCCCTAGGGGTGTGCAGGGGCATACCAGCTTGTGCAGGATCGGGGGTGGGAGTGACGACTGTTTGCAGAAGCCAGCGGCGGGGGTGGGGCTGACTGCCCACAGAAGGTGGTGGCAGTGGTGGCAGGGCTGTACGGCACTGTCCACGGCGCCCCCACAAAACACAGGCCCTGGGGCAGTCACGCCAAATCACCCTCCCCAGGGATGGCCCTGCACATGCAAATGCACTGACACTGACACACACACACACACAGATAAGTGCACACTCTACACACTCTGCACATGGACCCACAGACAAACACACTCTCCCTGCCATAAACACAGACACTTGCATGCACATATGCAAACAGGCATGCACTATACTCGCTCTGCACATGGACACGCAGGCACAAACACAGTCTGCCTGATATGAAGAGTCCCCCACACCCACCCTGATGCCCCCCACTCCTGACCCACAGCCCCCTGGCACTGCCAGTGCCCCCTGACACTCCCAACCCACAGTCCCCTGCCCCTACCCCAATGCCCCCCCAAAGCCACAGAGCCCCCCAGCCCTGCAGCTGCCCCTCACTACCAACCCACTGACTCCAGCCTGGCTAGTGCCCCTCACTCACCAAACTGCCATACACTGCCCCCCTGACCACTGCTGGTGCCCCCCCCACAGCCCCGTCCCTGCTGGTGCCTCTCAATCCTGACCTGCAGCCCCCTGGCGCTGCCAGTGCCCCCTGCACTCACAACCCACAGTCCCCTGCCCCCACCCATGCCCCTCACTCCCGACCCGCAGCCCCCTGCCCCCCGTGCCCCAGCCCTTCCGGAGGGACCCAGCTGCGTTTGTCCTGCCTGGGCCAGAGCACGGTGGCTCTGCTTCATGCAGGCAGCGGCAGATTGTGTCCAGCCCCAGCGCTGGCTGAGGGAAAAGGAGGGGAGGCTTGTGGCACCCCAGCCCTGGGATATGGCTGCAGTGCCCCATGGGCAGCCTGGCCATGGCCCCCTCCCCCTCCAGCTCCCTCCTCCCCCACCCAGCAGCTCCTGGCAGCTCAGACCTCAGGGCACAGAGCACCGGCACTGGCGCCTGCGCTGTCGCTGTTGCCCTCCAAGGCCGCCCCCCCTTTCCCCCGCTGGAGGGGCAGGCAACCCCCATCCCCCCTTCCCTATCACAGCTGCAGTCCCATTCCCCCTGCCCTGCCCAAATGTCCAGGACTCCGCTATGCTCCAGGGGTGGGAGAGGGGGAGGCAATCAGAGCCAGCAGCGAGCTCTGCATGGATCCACCACCTCCATAGCTGCAGGCAGGTTCATGTGTGCTCCCCACTGCCTCCCATCGCCGCCTCCTGCTCCCAACCCCAGAGCAAAGGGAAATCCTGGAGATCTCCCCCCACAGCCTGGACCCCACCACCTCCTTCTCCAGTCTGTCCGCCTGTCTGTTTGTTCCTAATGCTCTGGGCCAATTGCTGCCCGCCCTGTGGGCAGTGCATGTGCAGTTGGCCTGGAGCGTTGCAGACAGACAGACACACAGACAGAAGTAGTGCAGCTTTTATTATATTAGAATATATATAGTGGTGTTTCATTTTAATCATGGAAAAAATGTGGATTTGGAGTTACTTTTTTTTTTTTTTTTAAACTGAAAATTGAGGATTTTTGTAAATCAGAGAAAACCAGGATACATGCTGATCACTGACAGAGCAGTGGAGTGGGTTCAAACCACCAAGCACAAGTTCATGAGGATGAGACTGGTGAAAAACAGGGAGCAAACCAGAAACTTCAGGGGTCACATAAGTCTAGGGAGAAGGAAGAATCAGAGCTTTACCCAGGGAAACAAGGGCTTGGTAATTCCTCAGCATCTGGTCCCGGTAAAGCCCCTTGCTTTCATCTTCCAGCAGCTCCCACTCCTCCCGCGTAAAATACACAGCCACGTCCTCAAAGGCCTCCAGGATCTGCAGTCACAAGCATTATACCATCAGCATCTCCTGTCCCACCTGCCTCCAGCCCCCACAGCCCTGCCTGCAATTCCTCACCACTACAAATATGTGCAAGCTTTGCCATGGCAGGTCAGGGAGCAGACTTGCCTATTACACAGCTGACATGTGACGTGGCTGCAGCTGTGGACAGGGGAGTTCATGAGTCTGCCCTGACCCAGCTCAACACGTTCTACTTGCTCGGTCCTTGGAGGCAGCCCAGGCAGCACTTTCAGAGGTGGGGAGCCCTGACTCCATGCACTGCCCAGGCCTTCCTGGGCCAACACCCCTGGCGATCTGTGCTGTGGGTGGGGAGCTCCCGCTCTGGCTGACTTGTGGTGTTTGCAGCCTCCATCACCAGAGCCTTGTCGCTCTGCAGGTCTCTCCGCTCCCCAAATTCTTTAGAGCAGCCCTGGCTCCTCCTGGCTCCACTGTAGCTTGACTCCCACCCCCAGCTAGGGTTGGTGTTCTACTCACCTCCATGCTCTCCCCCTGCTTTGAAGGCCTGCCCGGGCCCAGCTCAGGTGCCAGGGAGCCCCTCTCTCCCCATCTCCCTGGGGAAGTCCTCTGCAGCTCCAGGTTTACAGGCCCTTCCTCAGGAGGCTGCTGCTTCTGTGGGTGAGGAAGCAGCACAGGTCAGTCCTGGTGCAGCCGGCACAGGGAAAGCCCTGCTCTTCTCCTGGACCGGCCTGTGACTACAGCAGCTGGAGGCCACAGCGTGCGGGGGTGGGGGAGGAAGACTCAAAATTAGGAGTGCACCAATAGAGATTTTTGGGGCTGATATCGATAGCCAATATTTAAGGAGTCATATCAGCCGATATCGATCTGATACAGCTGCCTCCAGCTGGTCAGTCCATTGTGCAGGAAGGGGACGGGGGGAGGCAAGGAGTGTGGGCAGGAGCAGAGCAACA